CAGTCAATTGGCCGGGAACTCAGTGTCACTGACAGAGCCATGAAATGGGAGAAAATTCAGAACATCCGCCTCTGGCAACAATGGCCAAATGCCTTTGCTTGCAGACACTGCACACACAGTTGATATGTGAGTGTTGCCAGCCCTGCTGAAATAATTAGTCACTATGTTTACATGCACAATATATTCAGATTTTTGCCCTTATTCCATAAAAGATGATATTCCTATTAAGCTGAGTATGAATATGAATATTCCACTGATACCCATTTACATGCAGCTGTGCATACTCCATTAACATATTCTAACATGTCTACTATGCCATTTGTTAGCACCTGCCTTTTTAAGGACACATAAAAGCTTCAAATTGATGAGGGGGGTATTTACTGATGTATTTTATGTTGTAGAACAAAACATAAGAGTCTCATCAGCTTCTGTAAACCACAGATCTTATTTCAGGCATCTAACCAAAAACCCATTCAAAAAATCCACTGAATGTGAGATGAGGGAACCAGGTGTGTAACCTGCTACCTCCAGATTTTAGGACTCACTCCTGGGGCACTCTTTTCCAAATGTGCTGTATAGACCCTTTTAGGCCCCGATGTCACAATGACATAATTTTGTTAGCTGGAGGCAAATATGATTTTCCACCACAGGACTGTAGGCTAGAGTCTCAAAATGCCGTCCTGTTGTGTTATTGGGAGCCAGAATAGAAGGAGTCATGGCTCAAAATTTAAATCCCAGCCACCACTACCTGTCAACAAAAACAAAGACAACTATGGCTAAATGCCATAAGACAAAAATACTGGATGGAAAAAATGCTGGTATGTACAACTTACACTTAATATCCAGTTAGGGAAAAAGTATTTACTGTTGTAGGGATGAGTAACATTATGTGTATTAAGGATTATCGTGTCAATCAGAAATTGGGGAGGTATTAAGAGGAATATTGGATTTCTCCATAACGCTAGCTGTTCAGTGCATTAGCTAACATTTGCTTCGATAGCATAACAAAATGGACGAAACCGTTCAAGTGTCATCCTCCTTTGTAAGATTGGCATAGTAATCAACCACAAAGCTGAACATCCCACCTTCAGCAGTCCTGTCAAATCACCCATGTAGCAGTCTGGTCCGGTTGGTCAGTGTTTACTTATTCAAGTAACACTTGCGGTAACTGCTCTGGATAACCGAACGGTTATGAACGGTACAGTTTGTGCCAGAGTGCATTTTGGCTCTTGGAATGAGTATTTCTGTATGCACCACTCATGTCATCTTCCTCCATTGTTTAAAACAAGACAACAGAACTTGCTAGCGCTAGCTATCTGTGGAGAATTGTTTTGCCTCCAGATAAGCCCCGCCCACCAGAAAAAACACTCATATTGTTTACTAACAGTGAAAGAGTCTATATGCCGTTTACATGGCTGTAACAAAGCATGCAAATGTACCCAGTGTCATCTATAACATCCTTCCCAAGTCATTGTTTATGGAGCAGCTTCAGTTTTTGTTCAGTTTTGTTTAGCACCCTAGTTTTTGGATTTGGGAGAGAGTTTTGTGTTTAATAATATTTTTGTCTTAGATCATAGGAAGAACATGTATGAATTCTGAAAATGGGCATAGTTCTCCTTTAAGGACTAGGGTGTACTTGAACCAAACTAGGTAAAAGGGTGTTGAGTACACTCGCAGGACTTCCGCGGCACTAACACGCTCGGTGTGTCCTTAGCGTTAATTATAACAGCCAACTTATTGAAAAATGTTGGGTTTAAATCGGGCTCGGGCCCATAATAACAGTTAATTGGACGGGCCAGGCCGGTCCCGGACATAATGTGCACAGGCTCGGGCCGGGTCGGGCTGAATTTTTTGGGCCTGATCTAAGCTCTAGTGGGGTATCCTTTTTAAAATTCATGGCATTAAGCCCTGCAAAGAACATGCAAAGACATGCCACTGATCCTTTAAACACTCCGAATAAACTGATCTGCTTGTCAAGTGGTAATTTTTAAATTTAAAACAAACTTAAATATGTTCTTGATATTTCTATTTTATAATATGAGTGTTGACAACATTCAGTTTGCAGAGTTGGGGTTTTCCATTTGGCTTCAAGCTACTCAATGTTGCGGAGTAGTCTGAAGAATAGCAAAGGAGATTATCAGAGCTGTCCTTGTGGAATATAGAAGATCTGCTAATGCATTTCAAGGCATTTAAATTGCTGGTGTGCCAGTTATGTTCTTTCTGGCGGGGCGATTTAAATTTAAGTACAGTACTTTAGTACAGTGTGGTAAATTATGGCAATAGTGGTCATAAACTGTATTTTTATTTTAAATAAAAGCTGTGCCGGTTACAAATGAAATAGTAGGGGGATGATGGTATTTCAAAGAGTGTATAAGGCAGGTAAGACAGGTACCTATGACATAGTAAAAAGACCTGGAGGCGAGATAAAGACATCCATTTTTTATGCCAGGGGATATTACTGCTGCTATCTTACAGGTTATCTGATCAACAGTGAGTACAATCACAGATGATCCACCTGGGAGAAAAAACAATGTTTTTATCTGCAACATCAGCTGGTGTGTGTATCTGAAAGCTGGGGCCACACACTGAGGTACAGCTGTATTCATATGTGTTCCAGACAGAAAACTTTTCCACAAAAACTAGATAATGGAGTCTTCTGATGAGTTCCAGAAAGAATATAACAGGTCTTATCTCAGCTCGGATTCTGCTTTATCTTGCTGTGCCTAAACTAATGAAGCAAAGCCTGCAAGATAGTGCAGACACTCAAGTCCACACCACTACTCTCACAGGGTATACTTACTTTTTGCAACATATATTTAACACACCCTTTTGATTATAATTAAAAGTGACTGATGTTATGGAATGCAGAAGGGCTCTAAACATCTATTTTGATGTTCCTATTAATATGTCAAATTTGTACGAGGGGGTGATGGTTGGTGGCTTAGAGGTAGAGCGAGTTGTCCACTAACTCCAGTTGTCCACTAATCGGAAGAGCTCGATCCTCAGCTCCTCCAGTCTGCATTTCAAAGTATCCTTGAGCAAGACACTGATGCTGTTCCATCGGTGTGTGAGTGTGTTAAAAACTGAGAAGCAGGTGGCACCTTGTATGGTAGCCTTGGCCACCAGTGTGTGAATGGGTGAATGTGACTTGTAGTGTAAAAAGCACTTTGAGTGGTCAGACTAGAAAGGCACTATACAAGTGCAGGTCCATTTACCATTTAGAGCCCTTCCATGTTCCGTATGATGTTGCTGTCAATAATAATAACAAAGCGATGTTTTGCTTCATTCCGCTGAGCTAGGGAGCAGAGATGGGTTGTTACTGTGGTAGTTTTCAAGTCTGAACGTTCTTTTCCTCACATTAACTTTTGTCCTTCTACTTCACTAGGGGCAAAAACCTTTGAGCTGGTCCAGTTAGTCAAAGCCAAGTTGGCAGGCCATTTAAATTAGTTGGATGTAAAGGCATGTATCAGAGGTGACACCCAGAGAATAATAGTTGTGATTCATGGGACCAGCTCACTTCTTACATTCTCACTTTCTTTATCTTTGTTTCTGCAGCTTGTGTCTCTGTTGCCTCCCTGTCTGCTCATGCTCATTCAAGCCACTCTACCCTTCCTCTTGTTCTCATCCTCCCTCTCTTTAATGGTCCTGACACACACAGTGTGTTATAAGAGAGTGAAGATAGGGTCTGCCTGAATAAAATGTACTATTATTATTATTATTATTATTATTATTATTATCATAATGTTCTGCATGAAAATACTTTTCTGGCAGTTTTTCAATGTCATATCTCAGGAATAGATAGGAAGACATTTGTTCAGATACTGAATTGGTGACACTATACTTGGATGCCCACCTTAAGACTGTGTTGATTCTATAGATCTTCTGTGCTGCCCGGGGGGAAAATGGGTGTGAAAAATACATGTTTTCACCGACATGGCTGTAAACTGTAAGAGAAACTTTACTGGTGTGCGGAGGCATACCGCCACTCCTTCTTCTTCTTCTGCTTACCGGTAATTCAGTAGTCTGTTGTCTCACGCAGGACAGGTGCAGCAGAGCGGGCTACACCCCTCAGTGCGTTTTTAACACACCTCTCCCACTGCTGATGAGGCAGAGGCAAACACTGCTGACCAAGTCGCCTTGCATCCCCTCTCTCTCTTTCTTTCGTTTTACGTCCCTCTCTTGCATGCGTTCTCTCTCTCCCCCAGTTCTCCACTCTTTCCGTCACTCTCCCTCTCTCAGTTGCAGTTCCCCCTTATTCTCTCTCTCTTTTCCTGTTGATGCAGTCAATTAAAACTCCTCCCACTGACACAAAAGAACTGCCAGTTTAATTAAACACACAAAAAAAAACATTGGTAAATTGGGGAGGACCCCACCCGATTCAAGCCCAGGGAATAATGAGAAATTTCAGCCCCGCCTAGCCAGGCCCAGCCCAGCCCAGCTCAGGCCAGCATGGCCAGAACCTGGTGGAGAACCCAGAACCCACACTGTTTGCCTTTATTTAGAACCACCAGACCACATATATCTCCATGTCATTTTTGTGAATATAGTGTAATTTTTCTATCTTGCATCTGTGTCATTTTTTCAAAAGGAAGAACTGAACTGAAGAAGGAGAGATGTGTGTGCTTCAAGCATTGAAGTTCAGTCTTGACCTTGGAAATAAAAGATTGATAAAACAGCACTTGTTAAAGTCGATCTGACTATTGAGCTGAACTGAGACTAAAAAATTGTTCGAAAAATCTCTGTCCATTGGAATAGCAGTGTGTAAATCCAGGTTACTTTGGCTTAACTAGGTATTGCTTTTCCTAACTGAATCTGAAGCAATCTGAATGTACACAATTTAAAAAAAAAAAAAAAAAAGCAATGATGTGTTTTTAGTGATGGTCACACCTCCCAGCTTTCACTTTTAGTGTTGTATAATACTGTACTTTATTGATATGGAGGTCAAATGTCTGACTGACGACCTCTCTCTTTGTCTCTCCATGTCTCTTGCCCTGTGGCAGGCCGGCTCCGAAGGCTTCATCAGAGCGGGGCAGTAGCAGTGACAAGAAGGAACGTCCAATGAGCACCATGAGCGAGGCATCAAACTACACAGGTGGCTCCGACTACAGCACCTTTCCTGGCAGCCCGGCCACCACCATCACTACTGCCACCACCACCTCCACTTCATCCACACGGGTCAGTCTCCATCCATCCATGCCTTAAATCTTAAAGGGAAACCCAGCTATACTAGAGAAAGCAATTTCTGAAGAAACTGCAGGTATCAATGCTGCATTCTGAAAAATGTGACGCTACACTGCAATGCTGACTTTAAACGTTGAATGACGCCATTAATGTATGAATGGTGTGGAATACTTTAAGGATTTTTGGAAAACCTGACGCTACACTACAATGCTGGCTTTAATATGTAAGAATAAGGTAAAATGATAGGAATAGCTGAAAAAGTCTAAAGGGATCTTATTAGTATGAATGTCAGTGATAAGTTCAATAATGCTCTGAATATGGAATATTTGAAGGGTTGCTGAAAAGATGACACTTACAATGCAATGCTGACTTTAGATGTTGAATAATACCATTAATGTATGAATGATGTGCAGTGTTGTAAGGTTTTTTTTCAAAAGCTGACACTACACTGAATGGCTGGCTTTTATGTATTAGAGTAAGATAAAGTTAAAGGAATAGTTGAAAAAAGTTAAAAGGTGTCTAATTAGTATTAATGTTATTGAAAAGATGAATGATACTCATAGTGGGAAATATTTTAGGGTTGTTGAAAAGATGGCACTACACTGCAATTCTGGCTTGAATGTTTAAGAAGGGGAAGTAGTAGGAATAGTTGGAAACATGGCAATTGGTTGGTATCAAAGATCTGGAATATTTTAATACTTTCTGAAAAGTTGACGCTACACTGAAATGCAGGCTTTAATGTGTAAGAATAAGGTACAGTGATGGGAATAGTTGAAAAAGTTTAATTAGAATGAATGCCATCGATACTAATACTGTGGAATATTTTAAGGTTGTTTAAAAACTAATTCTACACTGCAATGCTTGCCTGAATGGGTAAGTAGGTGAAGTAGTAAGAATAGTTGGAAAAGTGACAATGGGTTATTCTATATAATCTTAAACGGGAACATCACCTAAATTAAGGATTTTGATTCCATGGTTTAGGAAAGTTTAAACAATATTTCTGAACATCAATTTCAATTCAGTTTTATTTATAAAGCCCAATATCACAATTCACAATTAGCCTGACAGGGCTTTACAGCATACGACATCCCTCTGTCCTAAGGAAAAACTCCCCCCAAAAAAACCTTTAACAGGGGAAAAAAAATACATGAGCATGAGCTACTCTCTCTCAGAGACCAGAGAAGGCTCACACTTGTGATGTTATTAAGTATAATGTCTGGAGCTGCTCTGTAGACAATGAATGAGAGCCTGATTTTGTTTGTTTCCTTTTTTATACACAAATGAGCTTTATTCTATTGAAGTGTTCTCAGTTCTGAACAGAAATGTACCCATATACTCACAACATGCAATTTACTCAATTTCAATTTTATTCTTCACATGAAATCATATAAATAAAATTTCAATGAAATCTAATTTTTCACTGGCAACTGGACTTGCTTGCATTTCTTGAAGATGTTTCGCCTCTCATCCAAGAACGAGAGGACGAGAGGCGAAACGCAAGCAAGTCCAGTTGCCTATGATATAGCACTTATGATTACCATGACTTGGATGACTGAGAATCTTCACCGACATAATCTGTCACTTATAGAAAAATGCCCATGCACAGCTGAAGTCAAGGTGGCAAAAGTACAAACGTGTAAAGAAAAAAACACATATAAAGTGGCTCATGAGCCTGATGAAGCTGTAAGCGAAACGCGTTGCTCTATTAAATTCTCGATCCTCTTTCTTAGTCCTGTCTTGTGTGCGATACGTAGCCATAATCTGTCACACCACTCTTTGTAGGGCTTTGCAGTCCTGATCATTGCTGTTTCCATACCAATCAGTGATGTTCCCCGTCAGGATGCTCTTGATGTTGCAGTAGTAGAGATTTCTCAGTATTTAAAGGGATACCTGAAATTTCCTTAGGTGTCTAAGGTGATACAGTTTCTGCCTTGCCTTTTTTACTACTGAGTCAGTATACAGTGCCCAGGTCTATGTACCCTCTCCACCGAAGACCTGTTGATATTAAGGGGAACATAGTTTCTTAGCTGCTTCTTCCCAAAGTCCACTATCATCTCCTTAGTTTTGCTGACGTTCAGGAGTAGGTTGTACTGACAAAAGTGGGTCAGGTCCTCTGCTTCTATCAGGTAGACCTTTTCATTGTTATCGGTGATCAGGCCAACCACAGCTGTGTCGTCAGCAGACTTAATAATGGAGTTGGAGTCTAAAGTGGCTACACAGTCCTGTGTGTACAGAAAGTACAGCAGGGTACTCAAAACGCAGCCCTGGGGTTCTCCAGTGTTAAGGATGAAGGTGGAAGAGGTGTGTCTGCCCACTCTCACCACCTGGGGTATGCCTGTCAGGAAGTCAAGGATTCATGTGCACAGTGAGGTGTTTAATCCCAGGTCCTTGAGCTTTGTGACCAGCCTGGAGGGAACTATGGTGTTAAACACTGAACTGTAGTTAATGAACAGCAATCTCACATAGCTCCCTTTCTTTCCAGGTGAGACAGGGTGGTGCAGAGGATGTGTGCTATGGCATCATCTGTAGATCAGTTGGGATGGTAGGCAAACTGAAGTGGGTCCAGCATGCACGTTAGTGAGGAGCAGATATGATATTGAACCAGCTAATCAAAGCACTTCATACGAGCCAGGGACAGGCTGAATATCATTGAGAACACTGGCACCAGTTGGTCGGCACATGCATTTTCACAAAAAAAAAAAAAAAAAAAAAAGTACTGGAGTCATGCTTTGAAGAGAACATAGATAAGTTTCACTCTCACTTCAGTTGTAAATAGTAATATTTTAGCAAAAAGGCATGTGTTTGGGAAGAACTAAGCATAAATGAAACGATGAGACTGTAAATGGATGCTTTTATACAGTTTTCTGTTGTTAAATGTTAAATGTGTTCCTCAATCAATCAGGAAATCAATATGTTGTCCATTTTCTGTGGAGGCATGCAAGAAAACAGAGTTTACTTTATCAATTCAAGGCAACAGCATGACTCAGTGATTTACAAATGGTCATTTTGCTAAAGGCAATACTGCTTTAAGTAACAGGCTGTCTACGAGGCGTCAACACAGTCTATTGGTGCTTCTCAAAGTCAAGGATGAATCCTTAAATAGCTAAATTCCAAGGAGGCTACATTCTCAAATCCTGTCGAAGGACTGTTCCGATATCAAGGATTCATCGAATTCTACCAAGGACCAGGTCCATCCTTTAGATGATTTTCAAAGATGCATGTGTGTATCCTCAGCGGGCATGAATTGAAGGGGGCTCTTCTGGGCACTCATTAGCCTGTTCCAATGTGTGTTCACCGAATGCTAGGAAGGAGTTTTGCTAGCCTCTGTAGGACCCGACTTGGAGGGATCTACCAAGGAAGCATGCTTGAATTTGAGAAGCATCATATGAGTCAGATCAACCTCTCGCTCCTCCGTAACTCCACCCTCTCATCCAAATATGGTCACTTCTGGCCAGGATGGTGAAATGCTGAAATGCTCAACTTGAGGCTTTAAAACAGGAATCCACAAACAAATGGGTGATTTTTCATGGCTAACCTAGTGCTTTAAGGCTCATCGTTTTTGTTTATATAGCCCAAAAGTTTCCATGAGTCTATGGGAAAATGTAAAAATGTAAAAGGGTAAGTCCCTCCATTATAATAATAATAATAATAATAATAATAATAATAATAATACATTTTATTTATACAGCACTTTTACAGCTCTCAAAGACGCTTTACATTTAAAACCAAAGAAATGAAGTACATACATGTAAGTGCAAAGAGATAAACAGAAGACAAAAACAATATAAAACAACAAGGTGCAAAAGCATAGTGAAAAACATAGAAAAGGAGGGCACATGAGGAACTGAGAACGAAAAGCTAATGTTAAAGGTTAAAAGTGGATTTGAAAAGGTGGGTTTTGAGGAGTGATTTGAAGGTGGATGGATTTGGACAGTCACGGATTTGTATAGGGAGGGTGTTCCAGAGGGAGGGGGCAGCTATGGAGAAGGTTCTGTCACCCCAGGTTCGGTGCTTGGTCCTGTGTGGAGGAGAGAGGAGGTTTTTGTCGGATGATTGAAGGTTGCGGGAGGGAGTGTGGTGGTGGAGCATGTCCGTGAGGTAGGAGGGGGCCTGGCTGTGGAGGGCTTTGTGGGTGAGGAGGAGGATCTTGAAACTGATTCTGTACAGGACAGGGAGCCAGTGTAGGTTTTGCAGGACAGGGGTTATATGTTCACAGGAGCTGGTGTGGGTGAGGAGGCGGGCAGCAGAGTTTTGGATGTATTGAAGTTTGTTGAGGACTTTGGATGATGAGCCGTAGAGGATGCTGTTGCAGTAGTCCAGTCTTGAGGTGATGAAAGCATGGATGAGAGTTTCAGCGGCAGAGAAGGAGAGTAATGGACGGAGATGGGCAATGTTCCTAAGGTGAAAGAAGGCAGTTTGGGTGAGGCGGCTGATGTGATGTTCAAATGAGAGGTTATTGTCGAAGATGATACCAAGGTTGCGGATGAATGGGGAGGGAGAGAGGCTGGTGTTGTCAATGCTGAGGGTGACGTTTTGTGTTGCTGTAGAGAAGGATTTTGGACCGATGAGTATTATTTCAGATTTGTCACAGATAGATATTATCATTATCTACAGTAAATTTCACAGCATTAGTTTCTAGTATAAAGCGGTACTAAGTCTGCTTATAATTGTTCTCAGTAGATGTTCAGATCTGATTGCGGTGCTATAGGAAAGGTTAGAGAGCCACAGAAAACTTGGGAAAACTTTAGTCTAATGAATGCACACACAATATGTCAACATCTGGTAAATAGTTCAATAGTAATATCTTATTTGTCTTCAATTTGGACTTAATCAAAGAACTCCTCGTATTTTTCTGCTATTGACTTACATAAAAGATACCTTTTTGCTGCAGTGCTGCATATTTCAGTAAGTGAGCTATGATGTATATGCTTTGTTTAATGAGCTGAATACATCTGCCTCTGTTTCTTTTTATAGCTGCTGGAGAAGCTGCTGTTTCACAGTGCAAGCTCCTTTACATCCAATGCACCACATGCTTGTCTCATCAGATTGTTGTGTTGACATTGAGGGAGAGAAGGTGATATGCTGGGTTATTTTTTCTCCCTCTCTGTCTCTCCAAGTCTCTGCTGTGTTTCTCTGTAGGAGATGCAGGATGGAAACAGAAGCATAATATCGGCTGATTATTTCATAAAGGGTTATGGAGTATTTTTTGTCACTTAAGTATAAAATTATGTGCATTTCAATATCTGTATTGTAAATGTTGCTTCTGTAGAGCTGCATTTACCTTATATTTGTGAATGATCTACATTTGTTACCCTTTCTTGTATTTCAACAGCCCTCTAGGTCTTTCAATAAAGTTCACAACTTTGGAAAAAGGTCAAACTCCATCAAGAGGAACCCCAATGCTCCGGTGGTCAAGAGCAACTGGCTTTACAAACAGGTACAGAAGAAAGGTCATTCAACTTAAAAATGATGGGATGTGTTTGAGTTTGTGTGGGAAAGATACCAGACAGGCGAGGGAATATGGCTGGGCAGCCAATATGTATGGTGAAGGATGCACAATGATGAACATACAGTACACTGAAAGTAGTACTATTCACTGCATTTGGAATTGTTCCTGCATTATTGTTTGCTATCACAGTGAATCTCAAGGAAAATCATAAAAGAAATATTTTGGGAAATACACTTATTTGCTTTATTTTCCAAACAATTATGAGAAGTATTTGCTTTAATTGCATGACTGTACATTTCAGATATACTATGCAGGGTTTTCTTAAAAAAACAAACAGAAAAAAAACAAAACAATGCATAGACTCAAACAGATGTCATCTCTTTCAATCATCACTTGAGAGGGAAAACCACTTTATTTTTATGCCTCTATGCCAGCAACAGCTATGGGTGAAGGCAGTATGTTTTCAGGTTGTTTAATGTCTGTCTGTCTGTTTGTCCCATTATTGTGAACGCAATATCTCAAGAATTTTAGAGGGAATTGTCTCAAATTTGGCACAAATGTCCACTTGGACTCAGTGATGAACTGATTAGATTTTGGTAGCCAACAATAAAATATTGAGGTCACTGTGACCTTACAAATCATGTTTTTGGCGGTAACTCGACAATTCATGTGCTAATTATGACCAAATATCATACATATGTCTCTTAGATTGAAATATAGTGATGACATTTTATATCCAAAACATAAATGATCAACTTCACTGTGACATCGTAATATTATGCAAAAATGTTTTTCTGGCCATTACTCAACATCATATCTCAGGAACAGATGGGGTGACATTTGACCAGATACTTAATTAGTGACTCTAATCTTGGGTGTCTATGTTGAAACTGTGCTGATTTTTACTTATTTATATAAAGCCCAATATCACAAATTGTGATTGTATAGATCTTTTTTGCTGCCAGGTTGAAGATGTGTGTGAAGCATTCATGTTTAAGAATTTTTATCTTTTTTGCAGCAACATCCATATTTGGAGCTTTATCAACTGTCATGGCTACATACAGTATGAGTCTGGACAGACATCAATGTAAACTACCTGCAACTTGACTTGTTCATGGAGACAAACAATTGCAAGGCAGTAATTCTAGTTTTACTTTCTCTGTTCTGGATGTTCATGGGCCTGGACTCCCTCAGCACCTATGTGAAATTTGGGCTCTATATAAAGGTAGTGATAGGATGCCAGTGTGTAAAAAGCATACATAGTGAGGCAAAATCCCAAATGGGAGTGAATCTGGGGTCAACTTTTACTTTCACGTTTACTGGCTAGTGTGTTTAGAAACAGTTACCGACAATCCTGCATAGTATACCCTTAAGTACACAGCTGAAGTCGGGACATGGTTAGCCTAGCTTAGCATTAAAACTATAATATACCAGACAAAACTTCTGGTCTGTTTAATCCATATCCATACTCAGTATCCTGAAACTTGAGATGTGGAGTTGTGTTATTCATCTTGGCAATCACTACGCCCCCCCCCCCCCCCCCCCCCCCCCCCCAAAGGTGACAGCTGTTTTATCTGTCCATATCAGTGTGTTCTACACTGTGTTCACATTCCTCACTTTACTGCTGAACCCTTTTTCAGAGCTGTTGTATTTTAGACTTTGGAAGAGTGTTGGAAATAATGCGTTACAAAAGTAACATGTTACGGTAATGTATTGCGTTTTAGCAGTAATAAAGTAATGTAATGTGTTACCAATGGAATTTTGGGTAATGTTATTACATTTACAGTGTCATGTTACGCATTACCACCCAAAATAAACTGTTTATTGTTTGTTGTTTTCATTTTTCATTAACCATACTGATCTACTTCCGCCAGTGCACCACAGAAAACAGCTCATCTAGTTCATGTTGTACTGTGTGTTATCATGTTCAGTGTGTTTCCATGAATATAATGACATACAACGTGTCTTGTTCTGCTTTTGCTACCTAAGCGGGGTATGTAGCAGGGATAAGGAGCTGGCCTCTGGTGTGTTTTTTCCTTGTCTCAGTTATTGGCACATCTGGGTAATGTTAGTAGCGTATATGTTGGATGTGTTTACATTCACACCCCCTACAACTGCAGGGCAACGTTGGCACACAGTCCCATTCTTATGCATAAATCTTTCTCCGGTGCTGCTGTAGCTGACCAGCACACTGGGAACCGGCAGGTAGGTCTTCCTGCGGTATATTAATTTGCGCTCGTCATTGTGACTGACTCGTATGCTAATCAGTTTGTTGTGCTAATCTCAATATTTGTTTATTGTGTTTCATATCATAGGCCCACCAGGGGTCCGTTTCACAAAGCAGGTTCAACAAACTCTGAGTCTAATTCTGAACTCTGAGTTGATCTACTCTGAGATAGGAAACTCTGAGTTTCCGGTTCCAGAACAGCTGATTTGAATCAGTTTAATCAACTCAGAGTAGTTTCACCTGGAGTTAAGCGCGTGCACCACAACTATAAAAAGCCAGCATCAATGGAGCCCCGATTCGATGAGTCACCATGGCGACGGGGAGGGCGTTTTTCACCCCACTAGAATTAGAAATCTTAATGCGCTCATACTGCAAGTTTGAACACGTTTTCAAAAAGAAGTGCAACACCGCTGCAGCTGCAAAAGAGAGGGAGACGGCGTGGGAGAATGCATAAGTTTAAATGTAGTCCTTTGCAATCACAATAATATTACAGGGGAAAACTGCTTGAATGGTAGCCTATTAATTTATTTCATTTAGGTGCAATCCCGCGGAGGAGAAGCGTACTTGGCAGCAGTTTAGGATGAAATACATAAACATTGTTCAAACAGGTAAGACCTCGGCATAATCTCATGGGGGTACTTCATTTTGATAATGTTTTACATTGTAAAGTAAATATTAAGTGGCTGTTTGACTGTGCAGTTGTTTTATCCCCAACATAATGCTGTTTTCACACACATAAATGTCTTCTCATCTATATCATGTTCTGTTAAATAATTAAGCCCATTTAAACTAACACAGACTTCCACTCAGCCAACAGAAAGAAGGCAGATGCCCGTAAAACGAGCACACTTTTCTGACCGCCCTGCATACAGTTGCCTTACTCAAGTGCTCAGCATCTCCGACATTGTACAAAAAACTTCCATTTGCAAAGAAACACAGCGCATTTTTATACAGTATGAGCGCAACACACAATATCTGCTGGGATGTGAGAGCATGACGACGATTGGTAATGTTGCAGATAAGGACGGATTAGGTTGTGTATGTAGATGATGGACTGTGACGTGAAACGGTACCGCTCAAAAAGATAATTGTGTGGAAATGCTAAAACATCTATGCGCGGTCTGATAACCATCTCCTGACGAATATTTAATTCTCTGCGCAGTAATGCTGCACCTTCATCCACGGGATCGTTATCAAAAGGACATGCCATGTTAGTGAAAAAAGTCGCCACCTACTGTGCCTAATGGACTTCTAATATACTGACTCTGATTTTTTAAATGATTTTTTTAAATGACAGACGGCAGAACTAGGCTACGCCAAAACTCGCCTGCTGACTGAATGAATGAGGAAATCAAATGGAGTGTGTGGCTCTGAAAGAGGGCGGAGACAGAGACACTCGAGGTTCATTGAGAAAAACCTGGTCCCGACCAGGTTAGGTTCATAGAGTCTGTTACTACGGTAACTGACCGAGAGCTTAAGTTACCTCTCTCTCTGAAACAGGCTAGAGTTACCCCTCTTTCTCTGGTTTGAGTTACCTCCCTTTTTGAAACGGAAAACTCAAGAGTTTGCCTCATTTCAGGGTTAACAGACTCTGAGTTTTCACTAAACCTGCTTTGTGAAACGGACCCCAGTACTGATCCATGTCACATAATTATTAGACTTTGATCCTCTGCCTGCCTTCATTTTAATACAAAGTGGTAGCCACTGTATGTGAATGCATGAATTGGTCAAGGCCAAAACACACCTTCCGCAAAAGCAATACGTCAAAAAATATGCCTCTAAGAAATACGACGGCTAGACGCTAGTTGGCATTCCTGGATGCACTGCCCCGCGGCACTACATGCCACTGTCCTATTTCCAGCCTTACTGTCACTGAAATCAAATGAATTTTTTCCTTTTTCTTTGCGTGGTTGTCTGTTGTTGAGCTGCAGTGCGACGTGTCCAGTGTGTTCTAGCGGGGCTGTGGGCTACACACACACACACACACACACACACACACACACACACACACACAGTGCGATCTTCGTGTTGAGTGCAAGAGAAAGACAGGGATCTTGTTCCTAAACCAAATGCCACGGCCCCTGTGTGGGAGTATTTTGGATTTAAACCAAATGACAGAGGGGAGCCCAGTAATTTGGATGAGCCGGTGTTGTTTATTCTAAAACCATCTCAACAAAAAGAGCGAATATGACCAACTTAACGGCACACCTGAGAATGAGAGACTGGCGGTCTAATTTTTTTTGTTTTTATTTATTTATTTCGATATATTTACGTGTTATTTTAGATATTTAAATTTTCTTTTTTGCATTCCTAAATATTCTTGTTAAATAAGTGTTTATTTCTCTTTAAAAGGGTGTACTTGCATCAATATGCTTTTATTATATGTTTAAAAAATGGTCTAAAAACAGCAAAATTACAACAATAATAAAAATGGTCTTAAAAGCACAATATTATCACTTATCGCAATAATTTCTGACGCAATTAATCGGCCAGCAAAATTTGTTATCGTGACTGTCCCATGTCCACCTCGATTGCAAGTTAAACTGAAAAGAAAATACTGAGGTCTTAGTGAAGAAGGCTCAGTCTAGGCTTTTCTTTCTCAGAAAACTGAGATCCTTTGACATTAGCACAAGGCCTCTGGATGTCTTTTATCAAGGTAGCCTGGCTAGTGTCCTGTTTAATGCTGTACTTTGCTGGGGGGGCAGCATATCTGTGGATTACAAGAACAGGATCAATAAGATTATCACGCAAGCTGGTTCTG